ATTACTGTCGACTTGCCGTACGTTATTGCCGTACGCCAAGTCGACAGTGATATGTTTGTCTTTTTGATAGGGAAAAAATATTTAAATAACGCACGTCAAGTCAATAGTAAAAATTTTACTTGTCTTTTTTTTTTTAATTATAATACTTAAATAACGTACGCCAAGTCGACAGAATATACTTATTTTTTTGATAGGGAAAAAATAAAAATGTTATTGGTAAATTCAAAAATAAATAACTTCAATAAGTTATTAAAAAAAAAAAACAATAATAACAATTTTTAAGTTTTGTTAATTTATGTTGTTTGGATTGTTTATACTGTCGTTTATTTTTGTGTATTATTTATAAAGTCATGTGTTTTTGTGTTGTGTTTTTGTATATTTTATATTGTCATATTTTTCTATGTTTTGTTTAACTGTTGTGTAACTTAGTGCATCGTTTTTAATGGCGTGCACATTTCTGTATTGTTTATGTTGACGTCTATTTTTTTTGTGTGGTCTTGTTGCTAATTTTTTTGATTATTGTTGCTTTTTATGTTTGTTGCTATTATTCAAATTATTTCTTACTCTTTATCTCATAATATTTAAAAATATCCTTTTGTTTTCTTTTTTATTTTCTACCATCCTTCTGATCGTCAAACGTTGTGTTATATCATTTATCTCGCATGTCAGTTTATTCCTTTTTTCCTTCTTTTTATTTTGGTCGCTATCTGTATTACTATTTTTTCGCTTTATTTGTTTATTTAGTTGAGTTACTCCGATGACTAGTTTTTAACTATGCGAGTGACACCAAACCTAATTTTGTAAAGTTAGAAATATTTTTTTCAATTTTATGGTTAAATAAATGGATAAAAAAAAACTTTAATAAGTCAGCAGAATATACTTATCTTTTTGATAAGAAAAACATTGTACTTAAATAAAGTACGTCAAGTCGACAGTAATGTGCATACTTATCTTTTCAAAAAGAAAAACAAATATTATGTAAATAACGTACGCCAAGTCGACAGAGTATACTAATCTCTTTGATGAGGCAAAAATAGTACTTAAATAAGGAACGTCAAGTCGACAGTAATGAACATACTTATCTTTTTGAAAAGAAAAGTATTACTTAAATAACGTGCGCCAAGTCGGCAGTAATATACATATCTTTTTAATAAGAAAAAAACAAAACTTAAAGAACGAACGCCAGGTCGACAGTATATGCTCATTTTTTTGATAAGGAAAAAATATTACTTAAACAAGGTACGTCAAGTCAACAGTAAAATATATACTTATCTTTTCGGAAAAGGAAAAAATAACACGACTAAAATAACGTAGACAAAGACGGCAGTAATAAATAAACTTATTGTTTTGGAAAGAAAGAAGAAATACTACTTATATAACGTACGTCAAGTTCGTAGTAATAACAGAATAAATTAATACTTAAATAACGTACGCAAAGTCGACAGTAATAAACATACTAATCTTTTTAAAAAGAAAAATACTACTTAAATAACGCACTCCAACTCAACAGTAATATACTTATCTTTTTGATAAGGAAAAATAAAATTTAAATAACGTATGCCAAGATGACAGAACATACTTATCTTTTTGATATGAAAAAAAAATTGTACTGAAAAAAATATGGTACGTCAAGTCAACAGTAATATACTTATCTTTTCGAAAATATAAGTATGAAGTTTAAAAATAAGTTGGTCATTGCCGCCAAGTTTATTTATTTTTTGAAATCATTGAATTAGAATGTGTCAGAATTAATAGTTAGTCGCGTTAAGGTTGATATACAGACTCAGTAATAGATATTTATATTTTAAAGTAATAACATTAATTTATACATCTTGCTATAATCCTAAAAGAAACATATTTTTTTTATATAGCTTCTTTTTTAAAACACGCTCATTAACAATACGTGCTCGACCTTGTGCGTAGGTTACATTGTTTTCTTCGGAAAACTTCTTGATCTCATTTCGATCTAAAATAAAACAACAACATTAAAACCCTTCTATAGTTAATTGTGTCGACTTGACAATTCACGTTTAAAAAACTTTAGTATTGTTTGTAATGACATATTGGTAAAATATTAGCTGAAATGTGTATATTACTATTTAAGTTAAAGTTTTCTGTTTATTTATATAACTTTAAAAAAATAAAAAAATTAACATTATAACACAGCAGAAAAAATTTATAACAGCAGAAATCATTTAAAAAATATTCAATGACTTTTCCAGGTTTTCACTAATTTTCTAAATTTTTAAAACTTTAAGAACCAGCGCTCTGGTTTTCTTCGAGCGCAATGAATCCTGCATTTGTTAACAATGTTAATTGGATGAGTATGCATGAAGTGTAAATAAAAAAAAATTATATTATTTTAAAATTAAACTATTATATCTTTCATCTGTATAAATGCGATAATAACAAAAATTTTACAAATTTTGTAAAATTTTTGTTATTATCGCATGTAAAATGTCTTTAATTCAAATTTATTTATTTTAATTGAGAACTATATAAAACTTTACATTGACGCAGTTGCTAATAGTTTGGAAATGGGAAAAAAAATCTGGATTTACAGAACTGAGGAAGTAATGGTTATATTATATGGATGATTTTGAATCCTTTCATCCGAAGTACCATAAAATATATCAAGTAAATAAAAAAAATCCTTTATCAGTAATTATGTCTTTATCATTACCTATATTACTATACCTGGATATCCAAAATCTTGATCCACAAACTTTAAATATTAAAAAAATTTAAAGCCCTCACTTTCATTAGAAGTACAAAAATCTAAAAGCATTGAACTTTTAATAACTTCCTCTGCAAGGTGAAACAGTTTTGCAAAGTTTTGCTTTTTACTCAGCTCCCATTTGTTATAAACTCTTTTACTTGTATGATCTAAGACACAAGTTTTAGATTAAAAAAAAGTACTTTAAAAAAAACCAGAGCTTCTTTTATTTTTTTTAGATTGCTTTTGATTAACATCAAAGTTGAGATTTTTTATTCAAGATTAAGATAACAATAATAGTTTTACTAATTTAAAAGTTTTTTTTCTTACTAATACTTGATATTAGTAAGAAAAGTATGTGTATATACTAGTATGTGGGTGATGTGGCAGAGTAAATAAAAATAATATACCATTTTCTTCTTTGTTTAAACTAATTAAACCCGAGTCTATATTAGAACAAGATGCAAAAGTTACTTTTAACTAATGAAAACTTATTCATAAACTTTAAACAAAAACATACTTTTGAATTAAATTTTCAACACTCAAAGTAACTAGATTATTACATAAATTAAATAATAGTTTATTTACTTTTATCTTTCTCAATTTTAGAAATATGTTCCTTTTCCAAATCAATGTTGTTTATAGCTAAGCAACTGTTATTTGTATTAGTTATAGCAGATCCATTACCTTGATCAATTAGGTGAAGATATTTTCCTGAAAATGAAGAATATATAACACAAAACTAAAAACTTCTTTCGTTTTAAAATGCTGAAACCTTTTTTTTAATTATATTACTATTTTAGCATCATTTTATTATGTAAATTTTAATATATTTTAAACCATTTTACACACCTGTTGTATTTGGTTGTCGCTCTGCTTGTGACACTTGGTATATATTTCTATTAATATCTCCACTGTGCCCAAAATGATCAAATACTAATTGCTGTTCTGATTCAGGGAGACTAAGAGCACTAATTAAAGACGAAATTCTGTGGCGGTTCATTGTACCAGTTACTTTGTTTTTCTAAGTTTGCTTTTTTATAACAGGACATCAATGCACGCCATCCTGAAACATGATTATCGCTATCTTTTGTTGATGGAAACAAATAATTATTTTTATCTGAGACGCCTGCCTCTTTTTGCACTACTTTTAAACTTAAAAACTCTAAGGCAGAAACTAAATCTGGAGAGATAAATAATGGCACTTGTTTAATCCCTTTACCTTCGTGAAATGTAATTGTGTTCCCTACAGATATATCGTTACGGTAAACTTGTGTTATTTCCTTTCTTAGCCATGTTCCTTCAATTGCCTCTGTCCATTGAAAGAGAAAAGGCCTTGCAGATTCTCCTCCACATCGCCCATTGTACATTGTTAATCGTCCACAAACTGCATCCCTCACATCAACAAAAACTAGGTTGGGATAACTTAACAAAAAACTATCTTTGGATATTGTTTTAGTAATGTATTCATTTAAAAATTTCACAGCTTCTTCATCAGGTAAATTTGCTGGCTTTCTAGTAGACTTATTGCGTTTTTGTTGAATTTAACATAAAGCACCACCAAAAATCTCTTGTTCAACCAAAGAAAAAACAGATACAAAGTCTCGAACTATGTCTGCACTAAGATTATTACCATTGACAAGGTAATTGGCTTGTAATATTTTAGATGCTAGTTTTATCAGATTTTGCAACTGTATTTTCAAACTACATTTTATTCCATTAGCATCCTTGGTTAACTCATCAATAGCTAAGCGTAAATAGCCCAGGTTTTCTTTTTTTAAACATCTCTGATGCATCATTAGCTAAATCTAGTTCTTTCCTAAAAGCAGTAAAAACTCTAGCAAGGTTTCTCAATGATCCCCTCACACACTTTTCAACTTCATATTTTTTTTCGGTTTTGCATTTTTAACCATTGTAAAACGTGTATCATTAATATAACTGGGTCCAATTTTGCTATTTCTGATACCTCATCTTGTATCATTTTGTTTATAACATGGAAATAATATGAAAAAACATACAACAATATTTAAAAAAAGACTAGAGTTAAAATCTCTTTAAAAAAATTGATTTAATACGCCTACAATACAATTAAACAATTACGACTTAAAAAATAGTTATTAAGTTTACTTTATCCTCCTTGCATGACTCATCTATGACTGCTTCTATAATTAAATGTAAAAATAATCTTGAAATAAAACAACGTTAAGTAATAAACAATTTTTAAATTTATTGAAAAAAAAATAAAACCCTCACTTTCATTAGAAGTACAAAAATCTAAAAGCATTTAATTTTTAATAACTTCCTCTGCAAGGTGATCTTCTTCATCAGACATATTAACAATTTCTTTATCTTTATGCATAATGCTTATTTTGTTTTTTAGATTATCTACAACCTAATAGAAAATAACTACAATTAGCTATCAAAATGATATTTTTTTTCTCTTTTTATCACAGAGAGGAAACTAAAATATTACTTTTGTATCAACAAAATCGAAATCAACTGAATCCTCAGAACCTAGGTTGTGAATTAATAATGAGTTTTGATGCGGATTGAGTAATTTAATATTGATCTCATCCTAAATTTAAAAACAAAATAATTTTTTTTTTAATTCATGTTTACACACTTATGTGGTGAAGATGGATTTTCATAATGACATATTCTAACTTAAATGATATTGAAGAGTTGAAGCAAATTTTTACAACCTGATGCCCTTCCTGACATACAGGTTTAGTAAATAATTAAAATAAATATCAATTAATACCTTTGAGTCACCAATTATCTGTGACAATATAATTTTAATTGTTGGTTGTAACTTTTTAACCTATAAATGTTAAAGTTAAACTAGATAATAAAAAGAAATTTACATGCTTCTCCAGCAATATGTTTTGCTTAAATATACATATAATAAATATTCCCAATATTGCAAAAAAAGTAAAAAATATATTCGTGGCTAACACGCTGTTTATATACAAATATAGATGTATATATATTTAATAACATTATTTTACCTCTTTACGCCATGTCATTATAGAGGGATCATCGCCATAGTCATATCTAAAATTGTACAATATAATTAGTATTTTTTTGCGATAATATAATACATAACAAAAAAACTCATTAAAACATTTACCGCAATTCTGTACCAACACCTATATCCTTAATTGCATAAAATGCAAGTTATGTTGATTGATTGAGAGAAACATAACGCTTTATTATTGAATTTGTATATTTAGGTGGAGAATCATTTATAAATCTTTAATATATTTTTAGTGTTTATAAACATCAAAAAATAGATTATAATTTTACAAATATTATATATTATATGTTAAATATCAGAAAACTTTAGGCAAGCAAAATTTCGAGCATGTTCAATACTAACTTTAAAACTAAATTGGGTTATAAAAATCTTATCAAAAAATAAATAATAATAATAATATAAAGATTATTTGAAACAATAAAAAAAAACTGAATTTAAAAGATTTCTTTTTAATTTAATTAACGAGTCAAATAGTTTGTTAAGAACAACCTAATTGTCTAATATGAGCTTGTCTGAGAAGCTAATTGTCTAATCTAAAACTTGTCTAATTTGAGACATTTTTTCAACACATCAATTACTATATAATTTTACACTATTCACAAAATTATACAAATAAGAAACAATAAAATACCTGACAAACTGACTTGAACTTGTTGAATCAATACGGTGAAAAAAACAATAATTCACTTGATTAAAATCCAAACATTAACTATATTTACAGAAAACTTTACTTTTTTTTTAACTTTTTATAACTACACTAGAATATAAAGAACAAGTTTGGAGGTTTATTACTTGTACCCCTAATAAAGTGAACCGCTATTACTCATTGTAGCACTTTGAACTTACATATGAATGTACTCTAAAATGATTTTTTATACTACAATGTCGTCTAATATTTTAAAGATTTTGTCTAATGTAGTATTTGTACTATGTACGAAAGCTCTATTGCTTAATATTCAAATTTATTTAAATTTCACCAAAACTTTCCATTGGATCCTGTTATATTAATGTATATAAAAGACCCTATATCACGTGTACTGTAAATTTCTTCCCTTTCACAAGCTTCAGCTTCTGATATCTGTTCACCAAATTTATCAAAAAAAAAAAAGATAAAAAATTAAAAACAATACCGTATTAGTGATTTTATACATTTAAAATCAAACTTTATTACAATTTTTATGATAATAAGTTGATTATGATAACTTAGGAGATAAATAGAAAGATGTTATAGGTTTGGAAAATAACAATAACTCTAAAATTTCAGTTAATAGTCATTATAAAGCAACAAAAAAATATGAAACTACTGTATTTTCAGAACTTATGCATAGTTTTTAAACAAACATTGTTTATTTATGAATAAGAATGCTTTTAAATATATTTTATAATATTATTCAAAAAAAATAAATTAAACTAATTTATAATAATATATAAGTAACAATAATTACAAACTAATTATAATAATATATAAGTAACAATAATTTTATTTGTAAATGTTGTAACATAAAATATTATCGAGGTATTCATCATAACAATTATTAGTAATGTAATGAAAAAATATAAAGAACACACCTGCATATTCAAGAAAAAAGTCTCCTTTAGTAAATTTTTTCAAAGCAAATACCCCAAAACCTAAAATTTAATTTTTTATTCAGTCAAAACTTATAATTTAAGCCTATTAACTTATAACTTAAGCCTGTCAAGTAGCCTTGTAAAAACAATTATCAAAATAAATAGGTTATTTTATATAATCTATTAGTCTATTAGTATTTAGAATGTTATAAAATATATAGGTACAAATATAACACATAGGTCACTGTAGACTATAACATATCTTTTAACATTACTTAATTTAAAGTTTACGTAAGTAAAATAATTTGGTTACGCGTTCGTTCACGTTTTCTTATAAAACAAAGTGCTGCGAATCTTTCTCGCGATTACTTTGCCTGCAATGGCTGCCAAGGGTATTGTGTCAAACAGGCTCTAAAGCGCACTACTACTACTACTACTACTACTACTACTACTACTACTACTACTACTACTACTACTACTACTACTACTACTACTACTACTACTACTACTACTACTACTACTACTACTACTACAACTACTACTACTACTACTACTACTACTACTACTACTACTACTACTACTACTACTACTAACAATATTAAATTTAATTATATATATATATATATATATATATATATATATATATATATATATATATATATATATATATATATATATACACTATAAAAACTAAAGTTAATATTCAATATTATATTTAAAAAAAAGCTTGTATATAATATATCTATTTAAACTTCAATTACAAATTGGTTTTGTATAAGTTAACTAAAATTCTTTTTCCTTCATTCTGGTAACTGATATTATTTTCAATATACCAGATGAAGTTAAATTGGCTTTTTTTGTAAAAAGTGAAAAAAAAAAGATTTTTTATAAAAACTTAAAATGTAAAAATATTAACTAGTAATAATAAAATAATTATTCTCTTCGTATAAAATAGTATAAAATTTAAACTAAACATAGAAAAAAAGTTTATGATTGGTTTTAACTTGATTAATTTAAATTTTATTTCCCTTAAAAAAATTTATTACTTTGTAGCTACTAAATAAATTTAATTAAACTTTACTTGTATGAAAGTCAATTCAAGATAAAAAAATTATTTAATCTTTATAAAAGTAATTGTTTTTGAAAAAAGTTAAATAAAAAGTTATAAACCGAATATATAATCTTAAATATAATCGTTTGTAGAAAACTCTCTTTAAAAATTGGGTTACTTTATGAATAATTTGTTTGCAACCATATTTTGAAAACAATTGTTTTTCATCAGGAAAATAATGCATGTTATCAGCAATGGCCTCTAAAGTGGAATAATCAACTTTTTTATTTCTACTTCTTATTTCTTCGTTTACGCATTGTATAACATGTTTTCTCTCCAAAGGTAGAAAGGGAACATAAACGTTTATTAATCCTCTTTCAATGAGAGTAGAGTTTTTAAACCCACCTGGTAAATTTATAGCATTAATAGCTATAAGTTCTTCAAGTTCCTTACTCCTAATTGTCTCTCTGGATTTATTACTTTTATAATGTTTAATAGTATGATTGTTTATAATTTCACTGGCAGAATTGCTTAAAAATATAAACATACTTTTGCGATAATCTATGCCCCCTAATACACCGTTGTAGTCCAAATATGGAGCAATAGAATTGCCAAGACCCTCTGGCATTAAATGAAATTCATCAAAGATGAATAATGCACGCTCACATAGCCTAGCATTATTCTCTACATGCTTAGATAAATTGTTTTTGTATTCTGCTAAATTTTTTTCATTTGGAAAATCTTTTGTTGCATGTGTTAGATGAAAATATTTACTGTGCGTACCTTTTTTGAATAAAGAGTTAGCAATTATTTGAGAAACATAATTTTTTCCTGACCCTGTACATCCATGGAAAGACATGACTAAAGGTGACTTTGGACTGTCATTTTCAATATGATCTATAACGTATTTACCAACAAGATCATTAATTAAGTGCTGGCCAAATACTTTAGAACGCAACACTTCTTTTAACTCTTTAAGACTCTGATTTATCCAACGATGATCGCAGATTTCATTTATTTCACAGGGATCTAAAAAGTTAACAGTAGTAAAACAATTTTACATTTATTATAATTTATTTAAATTAACATAAATAAAAACTAAATTCATTTACTAATTAAATTCTTTTTAAACTCCTCGCTAAATAAAAAGTTTTTTAAAAACATAGACATAAATAAAAAAAATATTAGTTAGCAGGATGATAAGCTATTTAATTTTTACCAACCTATTTATAGGGTTATTCATTCTTATATGCGCGTCTATTCATTTTTATATGCGATTTTAATCATTCTTATATGCGCATTTATTCATTTTTATATTCGCCTTTATTCATTTTTGTATGCGCATTTATTTATTTTTATATGCGTCTTTATTCATTCTTATATGCGCATTTATTCATTCTTATATGCGCATTTATTCATTTATATATGCGTCATTATTCATTCTTATATGCGTTTTACAAAAGCAATTGTAAAAAAGCAATTTGAACCAAAAAAAATTATTTAAGCAATTTGTTTTAAAAAAACAGTTTATTTTTTCAAAATAAATTTTTCTTATTTCCAGGTAAACGAGGTTAAAAATACTTAAAACGAAGACTTTTTACATTCGATGATGGTTTATTTAATTTAGTTTTAGTTCTTTGTAATTTTATTATTAAATTACTTGATTGATTAAGTTATTATTTATCTAATTATTCATTTATCTAGATTTAAATTTAATTATTTATAATTATTATTAATATCAATACTTAATAGCTGTAATACTTAATAGCTATACCATGTAATATAATAGTTAATAGCTATACCATGTAATATAATATTTAATAGCTATACCATGAGAGGCTAGTGTTTGCCTAATAGAAAGACTCCAGTGGAAAATACAATTGTCCATAACAAGCACCGGCGCCTCAACTTTTACATTCCTAATCGCTGGTGCCATCATTGTAGTTATGAAAGTACAAAAGGAATCTGCATTCCAGCCTCCAGTTTTTATTTCATAAGCAAGCACTCTTGTTGTTGAAACAGCACAAATTAAACTAACATTCTTACCACGATTTGCAGGTGACTGTAAAATTGCTGGCGTACCTCTTAGCAAAGAATCATATGTGCATTTAGTGTGCACATTAAATTCAGTTTTATCCTAATAAATAAATTTTTAACCTGAAGTTCCGTTTATTTTGCTTGCAAATGCATAGCGTGCAATTATAACTGGTATTGAGTTTCGTACTTCGGCACATGCACAACACGTTTTCTTGATAAATCTGAGCGTTTAAGTTTTCTTGAAATAGTAGACTGAGACATGATGAAGCCTGCTGCAGAATGATATTTTTTATTGCTTCTTGCGAGCAAAGATTGTTTTCTTCTACGCATAACTCTATAATATTTTTTATTTGAGCGTTTATAGATCTTTTACCTCGTTTTTTATGAGAAAACAACTTGAATGCAGTTATGTCGTCGAACTATCCTTTGTTTAACTTAACGACAAGATTTTGAACTGCGCGCTTCGATAAAATAAGAAAAGTGGAAATGCTTGATGTAGATTGATTTCTTTCAATTAAATGCTTAAGCATTTCAATGTGTTCTTTTGTAACATTTTTCCTTGTTTTACGATTGGAACTGCTATTATCTATTCCATCCATATGGATGTATAATTTGATATTAATAATAATTATAAATAAGTAAATTTAAATCTTGATAAATAAATAATTAGATAAATAATAACTTAATCAGTCAAGCAATTTAATAATAAAATTACAAAGAACTAATACTAAATTAAATAAACTATCATCGAAAACAAAGAACTAATACTAAATTAAATAAACCATCGTCGAATGTAAATAGTCTTCATTTTAAGTATTTTCAACCTCGTTTACCTAATAATAAGAAATAAGAAAAATTTATTTTGAAAAAATAAACTGTTTTTTCAAAACAAATTGCTTAAATAATTTTTTTTTGTTCAAATTGCTTTTTTACAATTGCTTTTGTAAAACGCATTTAAGAATGAATAAGGGCGCATATAAAAATGAATAAATGCGCATATAAGAATGATCAAATGCGCATATAAGAATGAATAAAGGCGCATATAAAAATGAATAAATGCGCGTATAAGAATGAATAAAGGCGCATATAAAAATGAATATACGCTATAATAAATGATATGTTATAAAAGTTGAACAAAATAGTATAGCTTTATAGAAATCAGACACATTAAAAAAAAAAAATTTATAACAAACTGAAATGAAAAGATCAAGCAATCACAATTTATGCAGCAAGAAATAAAGTAGAAAGATTGATATATATTTGTTTGTTTAAAAAACAAATTGTACTTTATGAAAAAGTTTATTTTTATTAAAGATGTCATATCGGCAACTAAACATAAATCTTTTATAAGCTTTTTAAATATTGCAGAGGAGAGAAATTGGCCTGCAGTTTTTGCTATTATTTTTGTATAAGTTATAAAAGTGGTTAGAATTTTCAATTACTCTAGAAAACAAAGCTTGAGAAATCAATAATAAAGATGTAAAACATGTTTCCAGAGATTTCATTATTTTAATTCATTTTAAAATAGTAATTCGTAAACTGTTTTAGGAAAAGGAAATTTTTCTGCTAGTTATTTGAAAACTTATTAAAAAATTGAATAGAAGAATGTTTTTCAAGACATCTTCTTTTACATAGCCAGACTAAACTTTCACGGTATGCAGAAGTTCTGCATAGACCAATCTTTTAATTTTTAGGGTTTTTATGGTACTTAAGTGAAATGTTATTAGTAATCAAGTCAAATGTTCTTAAATATTTTTATGTTAACTTTTTTATTTAACTATAGACAACCTTCTACTAATAAAGTGTTATTTTTAGATGAAAAACATTTGCTATATTTACATCAGAGTTATATTTACTTCAGCTCCCAATTTGAATAACATATTATGCAGCAACAAAACAAAACTATCTCAATACTCAAATCCGGGAGATTATTAACTTAAATGCTCATGTAAAAATATATATATATTGGTGAGACCAAAAAGAAAATAATTTCAAGAAGTGCAGAACAACAAGCTTGCAAAAATCAAGAATGGTCAAGTTCAGGTGCCTCGGAACATTCTAGAACATGTGGTAACTTTGATTGGCTAAATCCAAAGACCTTAGCAGTTGTTCAAAAATACAGGATACGAAAAACTAGAAAGTCGCTGGAGATTAACAAAGCAAAAGTTCAATATGAGATAGGTATTGGGGAAGGTGTTCTTAATCAAGACGACGGGATTAAGGTTAAAACAAGAACTTGAAGAACAATTTTAACAAAAATTTAACTGACGTCTTTATTATATTATTTAATTGGTTTTAATATTTGACGCTTTTAATATCTTCTTTTTAAACGATTTGTTTTATGTTATTTTGTAACGTTTTATTATTACATTATGACACTGACCACAAAAGGTCAGCAAAATATCGTTAATATATTTTTACATCAAAATATATTTAAAAATAGTTATATGCTGCTATGTAGTGGGATAGCTCAGATGGTTTGAGCGTCAAAGGAAAAGTTAAAAATATATATATAAATATATATATATATATATATATATATATATATATATATATATATATATATATATATATATATATATATATATATATATATATATATATATATATATATATATATATATATATATATATATATATATATATATATATATATATATATATATATATATATATATATATATATATATATATATATATATATATATATACCTAGTGGTGCCAATTGAAGTGCGAAATTTTAATTCAGGAAAAAAATTTA